TTCCGAGGAGTGGCTGGTGGGTTTGAACCGCCAGCCTTCTGGTTAGCAGTCAAGTGCCTTAGGCACTACGCTACCAGAGCTCCTCATTTAAACTAGTGTTTCCCATACTTAATTGACCACCTAACATTTTTTATGTAACACAGTTTAGGAAATGCTGTAGTAGAGAATTCCAGACTAAATAATGACAGCCTAGACTTTACACAAAGGCATCGTCATGGCCTGAGACTTTAATTATTGCAATATGACTAGGGATTTATCTTGAAGGAAGGCATTTTACAGTATTAGAATGACAGCAGCTACTTCAAATGGGCCTACCACGTTCTTCAGGCCAAAAGCTCTTCACTAGAGCTCAGATCTTTGGCTTAGGACACAGATCTCCAGTGAACCCTAAACGTGCCTGGGTAAAGGAGAAACATTACTAAACTGGGGGTCACAAATACAAATGTCTGCAGAGGTCCAGGCATGAAGCAAGTGTGGAATGCTTGTGTCTGTGTGGGCTGTGGCAAATTGAAGATACTTTGCCAGATATTTTGGTGTTTCAAAAGAAGTTGGAAAACAGATTTTTATCACTATTTAAAATATTAGAATATATCTCTATGTCTCTATATATCCATATACTTATCTTTAAAATTTTTTTTTTTTACTATGGGACACCTCGGAAACCCAAGGAGGGGTCGCTATGAGTCGACATCGACTCGACAGCAGTGAGTTTAATGAGTATGGGCCGCCAGTTTGTAATTTCTGCATTAGATTTTATCTGTCATGCCTAGTTACCTACCACAAACATGGATTTCTGGACTCCAAAGAGGATTTAGACAGAGAGAACTATTTCCAATAGTTTGTATAGTTAAATATACTTGGAAATAATTTAAAATGTAGTAATTATAAAAATAAATTTTTCTAATAGTAATATTGTATAGGAGCTCTGGTAGCATAGTGCCTAAGGCACTTGACTGCTAGCCAGAAGGCTGGCGGTTCAAACCCACCAGCCACTCCTTGGAAGAAAGGTTGGGCAATCTACTTCCATAGTGATACCGCCTCGGAAACCCAAGGAGGGGTTGCTATGAGTCAGGGACAACTCGACAACACATAACAACAACTCAACAATATTATATAATATTATTATATTATCACTAGTTTTTCCAAAGTCTCCCTTTCTTTGGGAAATTATCATAAGCCACCAAGGTTTCACTTTTAAATAACCAGCTGTAGCAAAGAACATGGGGCAAGGAGTTAGGGGCCTAAAGCCCAATTCTAACTCAGCCACTGTCTGCGTGTGTGATTGGGGCTGTCTGAACCACCGGCAGACTCCTAGGCACGTCTTTTCCTCTGACTCTACCACTGTGCCTTTGGACGTGCTGTTCTCTATGTCTGGAACATTCCACCCTCTTCTCCCGGCTGACTCACTCTGATTCTTCCAGATCTAACTCACATAGCAGGACACATGTGACAAGTTCCTCCACTCAGCCTGCATCAGGATGTCCCCCTCTGTACTTCCATGATGCTATTTTTCATTGTTTAAATGACTACCACTCTTCAGTTAGCATTGGGAAAGTCAACTGCGAAGGAACTGTTTCAAGTGCTGAGGAGCAAGGATATCTATTTGAGGACTAAGGTGCGTCTGACACAAGCCATGATATTTCCAATCGCCTCGTATGCATGTGAGAGCTGGACAATGAATAAGGAAGACCGAAGAAGAGTTGATGCTTTTGAGTTGTGGTGCTGGCGAAGAATGCTGAAAGTACCATGGACTGCTAAAAGAACTAACAGATCTGTCCTGGAGGAAGTGCAGCCAGAATGCTCCTTGGAAGCAAGAATGGCCAGACTTCGTCTCACCTATTTTGGTCATGTTGTGAGAAGGGACCATTCCCTGGAGAAGGATGTCATGCTTGGTAGAGTGGAGGGTCGACGAAAGAGGGGGAGACCTTCAACGAGATGGATTGTCATGGTGGCTGCGATGATGGGCTCAAGTATAGCAGGGATTGTGGGGCTGGTGCAGGATCGGGCAGTGTTTCGTTCTGCTGTGCATGGGGTCGCTATGAGTTGGAAACGACTCGACGGCACTTAACAACAACAACAACAACAAACCCTTCAGTTGACAGCTTCTTTGTGTTTTCCTTTTGAATTTTTAGTGCTTAGGACGAAGCAGGCAGCACCACTTAATACATAGCAAACACTCAATATATGTTTAAGTGGTAAATAAGTGTATTTGGAAAAAAAGAATGAAAGAGATGATTTCAAAGGTGTCATTCAGTTGTAAAATATAAAAAGTTGTTCATTTACCTCTACTGGCTTCCCAAGGAAATTTTTCTCTGTCAGCCTATAACGGTAGAAGTCACCTCTTTTCTTGTAAGAAACATTGATATCCATATCCAAGCGTAGTTGCTTCACCAAGAGTGAGTATTCCGTCAGGCCCTCGATGGCATTAATTGTATCCTATCAACAATCAGCAAGGCACAACAATATGTTTAGCTTATCTGTATCACCCCTGATTACAAATGCCCTTTCTTATGAGAGGGTGGAGCAGCATTGTCTGAGATGAAACTCCAGTGTGACTGAGTGAAACTGGCTAAGGGCTCTGGTGTGGAGGTGGAAGGAAGGTCTCTTCCTCCTCAGTAAGGATGTAGATTCTAGTGGACTACGAGGGCAAAGGCACAGAGTAGTGAGAAGGGACAGGAAGTGTGGCTCAGATCCAGGATCTTTATATAACCTGCATATATGACCTCAGGGAAGTCATTCTTTGCAGGTCTATCTCCTCACCTTCTTGTCTCAGCTTAAATATTTCCACTGAAGGCCCTCTTCCCATTATTCTCTGTTTTAATGTTCTCTTTATGTGCTTCATAGCATTCATCACAATTTGTAATCACTTTATTTGTAGTTTATTGTTGGCATCCCCTTGTAATATAAGATTCATGGGGGCAGGTAGCATATCTTTCTCATTATCCACTATATTTTCTAGCACCTTGCACATAGTAAGGAGCTCTAGTAGCATAGTGCCTAAGGCATTTGACTGCTAACCAAGAAGCTGGCAGTTCAAACCCACCAGTCACTCCATGGAAGGAAGACTGGGCAATCTACTTTCATAAAGATTTACCACCTCGGAAACCCAAAAGGGGTCTCTATGAGTCAGAATCAACTTGATGGCAGTGAGTTTGTAATTTGGTTTTGCACATAGTAGCTAGTCAGTAAGTATTTATTGAATAATAATAATAAAAAAAATCAATGAACTTTATCTTTCTGAATGTCATCTTCCTCATCTAAAATGAGGACGTGTGACTGGATCAGAGATAAAAAATATGCGACTGTCCCCTGTGCCTGGGTCCATGGCAGTCAATGCTAACCAGTAGAAATTCTTTCCCACTAAGCCTACAGTTGTACCAAGATGGAAAGCATTTGCCTCACCAGATTAGATGGTCACTAAAGTGGTCCTGAAGGGCCCCTTAACTCTAAATTTTATGTAAATGAATAGACATACTCTGTTATTATCTAAATATCCAGAAAACACGAAAGATGTTCACAATTGAGCTAAATTTTGAATACAGATGTGTATTATACAACTATATAATAGTTATAAATACGCATAATTAAATAAGTTTACATTGGTATACAGACAGATGATAGATAAATATGTAGCAACACGTATTTCTCTCACTTTTTATTTCTTTTTGTGGGGACAATATTGGTATCTTTGTTTACCTCACAGCTGCTGTTTATTATGTAGAATGTAACATAATTGCTGATAACTTTACTAGTCTTTCACAGTCATTAAGATTCATAAAGGAAGTACTGACTTAGAGGCAGGAGACATGCTCTAACGTTGGCTCTGCCTCTAACTTCCTGAATGAATCTCCTTGGGCTTATTCTCTCCTCTGAATAATGAGGGTATCAATGCAGACAGCCTCCGAGAGCCCTTCAATTCTCAACATTTCTTCCTGTGTATGGTATGCTCATTTGGTGGACAGAAGCATGGAGGCCAGAATAAGTATGGAATGTGGGGTGTGGGAGACAGTAAGACTGTCTACAGTATGTACAAGACAAAGAAACGTTACCTGGGTAGAGTAAAAGCCACCTCCATACCTCTGCTCTTCAGACAACCATTTGATGATGGGGTTAATATAATTCATCTCTTTCAAGGCCAGGCTGGTGAGTAAAGCATAGGCAGTGGTCTCTACCATGTGTGCTGTACCAGCATTAGGTACAGAGCTGCCTTTGCTCTTAAGATCATCTCTCCAAAAACGATAAATGGGTGGGTTGCCTGAACATTAACAAATCATATTTATTAATATGATTAAAAATGTGAATTTGACATAACAATTCTAGAACTTTCTTATTTTTTGTACTTCTTCTGGGTGACTAATACAAAACAAGATTCCATAATACTGTGCTATTTGTCTTTATTTAAAAGCTCAGCATGGAAAGTCAACATATGCTAGGGAGAAGAAGAATAGTACCATCAATTGGGAATTATTAGTCTCAAGTTCTACTTGAGTCTCTACTACTAACTGGTCATGTCACCTTAAGCAAGTCTCTTTAGTTCTGTGGGATTCAGTTTCCAAATACCTAAACTGAAAATTATACTTAAGAAAAAAGTTTTTCTTTACTACAAGAAAAGTAGTAAAGCTCAAATGACACACTACGTGTGACTTTTTGTAAACAATAAAGCACCATATATATACATATGTTGTTGTTATGTGCCGTCGAGTTGGACCCGATTCATAGCAACCCCTCCTCAGGTTTCTTAGGTGGTATCGCTACAGAAGGAGATTGCCAACCTTCCTTCCAAGGAGTGGCTGCTGGGTTTGAACTGCCAGCTTTCTGGTTAGCAGTCAGGTGGCTTAGGCACTATGCTACCAGAGCTCCTATATGTAGAGGATTATTATTATTATTATACTGACACTACAAGATTAAATTGCAGAATTTTTCTCCCTGATGGAAAAAATTTATATCCTGATAACTATGAGATTACACCAAATTTTAATTCAGTTTTTTATTATCTCCTCTCAATTTAAAACACAAAAGACAATTTCAAATAAGCAGCACATTTCACAACATATGTTCTAAATTATATCTAAGTTTTTTATTGCTCTAGTAATATTTGACTGCCTTTTTGGAACAAATTATATTAAAAAGTTAAAAAGTAGTAAATTATATTTGGGAATCATTTTTCAAAGTTAATCAAAATACTGATGTGCCTGTTTATAATTCATAACTACATTATTTGCATCATCTTGAACAGATACTTCCCTTCCTCTTAGATACTCAGATTTCCTGTATTTAAAATGAGATGTTTGATTTGATCTTTAAAGGTACTTCCAGCTCAAACATTTTTTGATTAGATGAAGTTCTCTTCTCGCTTTTAAATTCTCCATTTTACGTTCCATAACATTCATTATCCAAGATGTTTCTTTTGTGTTGTTTTTAAACTATTGTACAAGTGGCCTTGAGATATATGTTAGGATTTGGTCATTTAAAATGATGACAGAAGTCAAATTTTGTAAATGGTTATAAAAGTCACGTAAGATTTATAAAACTTAAAAAAAAAAATCAGCCTAGTGGTGGCTCAGAACCATGTATCTGCTGCTTTAGGCACGCTGGCCAATGATCGCTGCTATTCTCCTAGTTCTCTACTCTTGACCCATAGAGAGCAGTATCCTTACTCTTCAAAATGAAATAAGTATCTTTATAGCAAACCTAATAAAATATAAGCCAGGTCATGTACTCCTTTGCTTAAAACCCTCTAATAGCTACTGTTCTCATTCAAAGTAGAAGTCTAAGTTCTAGGGTCCGCACTGAACCACTGAGCACTGTGAGGTGAATGACAGACAGGCACTTCTTACTCTGGGTAGAAGCAGCCCTAAACCAGGGTGCACAGCTGAGTGAATGGAGCACATGCTACAATTCAGCTTCATTCACCTGCTTGTTTAGGTGTCTTGTACACTGCATAACTGTACACAGTAGCTCTGCAGAGTCCTTGCAGGGGACCTGAAAGGCCCATCATGAGCCCCCCTCAGCCCCTCGCCCTTTCCTTGCCTGACCTCAATTCCTACGCCCCCAGTTCACTTCTCCCTAGTCATTGTGGCCTCCTTTCCATTCTTGAAGTACCAGCCATGCTTCTGCCTCAAGGCAATTACATGGGCCTTCTTTGCCTGGAAAACTCTTCTTCCAGGATTGGCTTCCTCACTGTCCTCAGGTCTCAACTCAAATACCATCTTGTCAGTGATACTTTCCCACCCTATCTAAAATTACAAGCCCTATTTATTGTTCTATCTTCCTTCCCTGCTCTAACTTTCTTCATGTCAGTCATCACAAACTTGTCCTCTATGTACAATGTTTTATTTATTTATCTTGTTTGTCTGTCTCTCCCTAATAAAATTAAGTTTAATGAGGGCTGGGATTTTTTGTTCTTGTCTGTGTTAGATTTTGCTTAGAACCAGGCTTGGTATATAGAAGTACTCAATAAATATTTGTTGATGAAAGAAATGAACAACTATTTCCTGAAAGAATGAAAACATAAAAGCAAAATGGTAGATGTTACAATGTATCGGGATGATTTGTTTATGCCAGTCTTAATTTGTGAGCTCCCTGAAGGCAGGGTGTGTGCCTTGTCAACTTTGCATGCCAGTGCTCCCTTCCTAGAATTAGCAGACTATGCTAAGTGGACGCTTGCTGAATGAATACATGGAGTGAGCCATACCTTTCACCAACGCTTCCTTCTTCAGGGCTTCAGCAATTGAGCGAAACTGTCTGTGTGCTGTGTCTCCCAGGGAAAGAGCATATGCAGCAATGGCCAGGGTAAAGGTGCTCTGGGCTGGGAGGGTATTTTCAAGCAAAAAGGTGTCAGCTTTAGCAAGAGCTGTGTTGATTGCCTGCAAACAAGAGAAGAAGAAACCTAAGTTTCCTTGGCAAGCGTCACCCTACCAACTGACACGAACAGTCGTAGCGTGGAAAGATGAGTGGGGAAAAGATGACCGACATAATCGGAATGAATGGTATCTCACTGAAACTCAGCCTTCCAAGACGAGCAGAGCGTGATCTCTGAAGGGAAGATGTGCTTGTCCAAAGAGGATTAAGCTTTTTGTCTCTGAGTTCTCACTTCCCCTTTAAAAGCTCTATCCCTTTAGTTTCTACTTCCAATATCAGGCCTAGCCTCTAGCTTTATCATCTTCCCTCTACAGAACTGAGACAGGCTCATTGCTTCAAAAGGAGCTTCACTAAAAATTACATAAATAGCAGTAAGAAAGACAAGCTTCCAAAGTACTTTTTGATCCTAAGAACTCCAGGAAAAATAGTCCCTAATTCCCTGTTCTGAGGTATCTAGGAATAGTTATTTAGGATAAGGAGATTATGAGGAAGCCTCCTGCAAGGCTTCCAAGATCTCGCCTGGATTCTTCTCCCCCGGCTCCATCTGTGTTTCTCAATCATGAGGTTCTCTAGTGCTCCTGGGAACTGGTTCTCTTTGACTATCTTGTCTTGGGGTCTTGTAAATATAAATACCAATTCTCTTGAAGTAAACTAAAACAAAAAAAATTGTTTTGTTTTGTGGTTCAAGTCCTGCAAGTACCCTTGAATTTTTTCACCTCGGTTCTGTATCTGGGTTTGAAGGACATGCCTAATTTACTTCTGATTTATAGGCAGGTATATGTTTAACCTCAAAGAACCCTGGTGGTGCAATGGTGAATTGTTTGGCTGCTAACTGAAAGGTTCAAGGTACAAACCCACCAGCTGCTCCACTGGAGAATACTCAGTGACCTGTTCCTGTAAAGATTTCAGCCTAGGAAATCCTCTGGAGCTGTCCTACTCTGTCACAGGGTTGCTATGAGTAGGAATGACTCAACAGCACACAACAGCAACATATTTAACCTCAGGTCAGGGATTTAACTCTTCCTAGATGAGGGTATTTGTTAGGCCAAAGCAAACCCAAGCCACCAACATTTCAGTTAGCAGCTTCCTCCGGGTGTCAAGCCCTGATGAGACAGCCTGATAAGACAACAGAAGTGACAGAACCC